TCTGGGGCCGATGACATCAATCTCTGTCCCGAACAAGATGCTACTCTTGCTCATCAATGAGACTATACAGAAAGGTCTTACGAAGTCATGATGATCAATATGTGGCGGTATGCAGTCTCCCTCATCATAGATATTAATGATGCAGCTGTTTGGAATGCAATCTGCAGGAAGTATGTTCCATCGAACCATTCTCTTAATCATCCATTTGATCATTGGCGGCAACGGGTCCACTTGATCATATTTGAGGATCCCGGGAGGATTCCCCTGTCTATCTCTTGTAAAATTATAGCAGCAACCACATTGTATCGTGATCCTGCTCATCCATTTTCTTGGTTTCTTGGCTCGGAGTAAATCCTCTCTATCAGCAAGCCTGCTTGACCTCTGTCTTTCAGATCAAAAACACAGTCGAGGATTTTTCGCTCGTCACTTTCTGAGAAGACTTTGGTGTGTAGCTCTAATCCCTCCAGGATGTTGATGAGTTTTCCCTGTACCTCCTCGTAGAACTCAAAATTTCTTTTATCTACCTGACTCATCCTGTAATACTCCATCGTGCTGGGAAAAGGTGGCTGTCGGGGGTATTCCGTCGTCTCGGCATTGACAAGAACCCAAACTAGCGCTGACTTAGTTTCCAACGGAATGTAAGATTCGGTCTCCATCGGAACATAGGGTTCGGTACCCCGCGGGACATATGTCTCTGCATTTAGCGAACCATAGGCTTCCTCCATTTGGTGCTTGGCAGTCTGGGAATTATCATCATTGGAGGCATACTCTTCTAAAGTACTGTAGTGCTGCAGGTGCAGGATATTGTAGTCTGGGCACTCTACGAAGGCCCTCGCAGCTGAAGCACGGACAGGTATCTCAGCGTTGCAGGTAGGGCAACCCGGGCAAAGAGCACATCTGAAGCTGGCAGTGGTGTCTGGTCTCTGGAACAATTCCGGGCAAAGAGTATCCGAAGTAGGAAGGCTGGACGAACTTTCTCTCATGCCTGGCTCGTAGAGAATGCAAATTGAGCCCCTCTGGAATAGGGGCGAGTAAATAATCAGTATTCTGCTGGCGTCTCCTCTCCTCTCGTAGGAGAGCTCACTGTCTGCGTCGACTGGCGTTTCTGCGTATGGTCTTTCGCAATGGAGCGAACGGTACCCTTTCTTGGTTTACAGCAACTAATCCTCCGGCTGGTGTAGCTATCATGGAGGGCAGGTGGCTGGTCCCCTCCATGGGGTCTTGTTGTATCATCATCTCTTGTATCATCACCTTTTTCCCCTTCAGTGAGGGCTTATTTCTGGTACTGAATCTGAGAAGTGAGGGCAACCCCTTCTTTTCTTGTGGGTGGATGACATCCATCAAAGGACCGTAGTAATCTTCGCAGTAACACGGTGGAAATGATTATATCTTTGTTAAATCTTCATATATCCCAAGTCAATCCTATGGGGATTTGTCAGAAATGATTATATTAGAGACACGGTGGAAGTAACACCTATATAAATAAGGTTATGAAGAATAGTCTCTGGCTGTTTGGTCATGTACATTGAAGGGAACATACACCAATAAAATTTTTAAATCAAATTAGTTTATTAGAATTAATAGGGAAAATGGGTAGATCAAATGTAATATTTGTTTGCAAAAGATTTGCATAAAAAGAGTTAAGGCCTCGTGCAACACTTAATGAGAAAGATAATGTGTCAAAATTCATAAAGCGAACTTCAAAGTAGTTGAGTAAGATTTATGATGAAGATGATGGTGATTAAAAATGGAAGTTGTACCATTAATACTTATAAATTTCCTTAAGGAATATAATAAATCAATTTCAAATAAGAAAATATTATTGTATACGATTTTTATTCTGGAACAAGACATCGGCATTCATCCCCTTTACTTTCTTTCTCAAATTAAAATCTTTTGTTTGAGTGGAAACATCAGGTTGTTGAGTTTTCTGCCACTGTATTCAATTTGGCAAAATAAAATGGTCGAACTTTGTTACAACCTACCCCTATTTTGATATTTCCTGTAATTATATTTCCATGGGCCTGCTGTATTGTAGTTGTTTTCCAGTTCTTTTTTGTACACAAATTCTGTATGATTCAATAGAAGCATTATGTTTATAACCTTTTGGCTATCTTCAAGGTGATTCTTAATATTTAATATTTTGCTGCCATAATGTTAATTCTATTTTCTCCTTCTTTCTGGCAACTGTTTTCTTATTTTATTTTTACTTTTTAAGAAATTTAATTTTTACTGCAATTTTTCAAGTTATACCTTTTAAACATCTCGCGTTATGTGCATCTTTTTCAAGCACTAACCACCCATCTCCTATGGATTATGCACTAGTAGATGCAGTTCCAATGTATAATTTCATCTCATACCCATTTCTTAACTAGTCCGTATGTTTGTATTTATAATTTTGTCAGGCTGCAAATTGTGGATATTTTGAATAGCCTCAAAGAAAAGCCAGATGTCGGAACACTACTACTGGTATTTATTCTGTTTCTTTTTTTTTTCTTATACTCATTGTATACTCTATATTTCATATTTTATCTTCTTTTGTAATTATAATCTTATGTAGTTGTGTACATAGCTTCTGTTTCTTGTTTGATACTGCATCTTATTATAGGTACACGCTCATCAACTTGAAGAAAATAAGAGGGGTCCTCTTTGTAAAAAGTTGGAAATTTCCATGCTTTTACTTGAGTTAGCTAATTCCACGCCATCAAGTTTCAAATAAAATTATTTTGTGGAATTATTATTTTTATCATTTGGCTTACACAAATATTTTGTGGCATCTTTTTATATTTGTCAATTTCTTTTACGTACAAAAGGTATTAACCATTCTTTGTGCATTTTTTTCTTAAGTTCTATCCATTTTACGCATCATCCATTCTCTTTCTTTCTTAATCATTTAACATTGTTCTTTCTAGTTGTCATATTGGTGCATTTGTTGTGCTCTATTTACCTGCCCAAAGCACTGTCGGCGCTTAAAAGGGGGAAAAGAAGAAGGAAAGAGAGTTTTGGATGTTTGGGGGTCGCCCGTAAGAAGCTGTCGGTCGCCGGAATCGAAATCCCGTCGCCCGCTTCGGAAGGACTTTTTAATTTACATATATATATATATATAATTTTAGAAAAATATGAAATCAAACTGACCTCATATTTTTCACAGTTTAA